ATGTGTAGGCCGTCCCTCCCTCCCTCCCTCCTTCCACGCTCATCCGCCCTGTCCGCCCACATCGATGCACGTGCGCTTCCATGGACCGGGCCATGTCGTAATTGACCACGTTCCGGACGTCTTTAATGTCTAAGCCCCGCGACGCCACGTCCGTCGCCACCAGCACCCGACACCGCCCGCCCTCCTTCCCGCCCTCCTTCCCGCCCTCCTTCCCGCCCTCCTCCTGGCGCTTGAACCGGCGCATGATCAGGGACCGTTCGCTCTGGTCCTTGTCTCCATGCAAAGTCTCTACCTCCCACCCTCCCGCGCTACTTCCTTCCCTCCTCATCAACATCGTTCGCAAGCGCCCGGCCACGTCTTCGCACCCTTGTTTGCTCGACACAAAGACCAGCACCTTTCCTGCCTCCACCAGGCTCGAAAATTTCTGGAACAACCATTCCTCCTTCCCTTCCTCCCTCGGCACCACCACCACTTCCTGCCTCACGTCCTCGTTGGCCTGCCCTGCCCGGCCACAGACGATGCGGATCGGATCGCGCAGCACTTTTCGCGCCAAATTCTCCACTTTCCGTTTGAAAGTGGCGGAGAACATAAGGCTTTGCCGGTCCGGTCGAATCTGTCCGAGGACGGAATGAATCTGAGATTCGAAGCCCAAGTCAAACATACGATCCGCTTCGTCCAGGACCAAGAAAGTGCACCGGAACAAATTCGTGGCTTTCCCCTTCAAATGTTCGAGCAGGCGCCCCGGGGTGGCGATCAAGATCTCCACACCTGCCTTCAACAATTTGCTCTGCTCCCATTTCCCTGCCCCGCCAAAGACGGCCGCCACTCTCGCCCCGTGCGGCTTGGCAAATTTGAGAGCCTCCACATAAATCTGCGATGCCAGTTCCCTGGTAGGTGCGAGGATCAAGACGATGGGCCCTTCCCCTTTGACCACCTCCGGTTGGTCCATAAGATGCACCAGGGCCGGCCACACGAAGGCCAAGGTCTTCCCGCTCCCCGTCTGCGCGATCCCCAGCACGTCGCGACCCGCCAAAGCGAGGGGCAGGGCTTGCGCTTGGATGGGGGTGGGGGCTTGAAAACCCCGCTTGATGATTTCGCGCAATAATGTCTCGGAAAAGCCCGTGGCGTGCTTGAAGGACACGATGGGACGGCAGCTTTCCCGCCCTTCCACCTGCACCTGCAATTCCTCTTCCCGGTACCTTAACATCTCTTCCCAATCCATCGCCGTCACCTCCGGGTCCTCCGTGTAGAAACATTTTCGAAACGGCGGATAGGACATGCTGGCGTGGTCCAGAGGGGGCAAGCTCTCCATCGCCTTCTTCCCTTCCGGCCCCACCCGGCTGTACATCTTCCCAGGCACCAGGCCAAGAGCCCTATCGTCTCCTCCTTTGCCCGCAACTGCTGCCTCTGCTGCCGCCCCAGCAGCGTACACTTCGGCATCCGAGTCATAGTCCGCATCGTCCTCCCCTGGTCGCCGACGGCTGATATACCCCCCGTCTCCTTCCTCCGAGTACTCCTCTTCCTCTCTCACGCCTTCTTCTTCCTCTGCTGCGGTCTCGTCGAGGAACACAGGTTTTTCCACCCCAGCCTCCGTGGTGTGACGGGCTTCCTCTTCCACTTTACTCTGCACACCCACCATGAAAGCGTCCAGGGGATCTACGTCTTCCTCCTTCTCCGGACCCGGCGTCGAACTGACAGCTTTTGAACTATCATTCAGAGCGCCATTTTTGCCTTGGTGACACGAGCCCTGCTGTTCTTTCATAAATGCATCTATTGGGTCTTCTTCCTCCTCCCCCCCAATGCCTAAGCCCGGAGGTGCTCCACGTCTCTTTCCGCGTCCATCGCCCTCTTCATCCTCGTCATCGAACCAATTTTTCACACTCTGAGACTGCTGAGACGCTCTGACGGTGGAGCCTGCGCCGGCATTTGAACCAGATGGATCGTTTTTGCTGGCAAAGGGGTTCCCTGCATTCCTGTTCGAGGACGTGGGGCGATAAGCCTGTCCACCAGGCCGGCGAAAATTCATGCAGAGCAAGATATGACCTAAAGAGAGGGCCGGAATATTGCTGGTGATGAGTTACGAGTGACAGGACTGCATGAGAAACCTCACAGATCGTAGCCAGCCTCAGTTTCTTCTTTAACCTCCCCCCTATGACACCGCATCGACAAGCAAATACCGGGTCATGCTTAGCTTTAAAACTAGCAGAGGCACGCTTTCCAGCTGTCTGATTCTTAGAAGCTAGATGTAGTACACTAGCCTCTCACAAAGGTAATACAGTGAGGGCTGAAAAGGAAAAAGAAATGTGGTCATCCATCCACATCACAGAAGGAAAAGAAGTAACAGTCCTTTTTCATGTACAGTTTGAAGCTGCAATAAATATATTATAAAATATTATTATTCTGACATGCGCGATTATACACAATACCTCTGCACAGTACACATTGAGGATATGTCACCCTGACTATCTCTTTCCACACCCGTGAAAATCAAAGCCACACGCGGAAGCTGAGATCAATAAGATCAGTGCGACAATCAATCCAGTTATGAGCAAGTAACAGCGGATCCTTCGCCACAGCATCTCATGCCGGAGTTGCCGGGAGGATCGTTCGAATTTGAAGGCACTGTGCTGCAAGTCGGCGGTTTTGTCCACCAAAAGCTCTAATTTTTCGCCCCTCTCCAAGACCAGGTCCACATTTTGGATCATGACGTTCCGCACGTCGTCCAGTTTCGCTTGCAGGGCGCTCGAGGCGGCCGCATCGGGACTGTTGAAGTAATCCATTTGCCTCTTTAATATCCCGGAAAATTCTTCGTTCATGGCAAAGGCAATGGCCGTGTGCGCGCTTTCACGCCCGTATCGGGTCAGGAAACGGTCCTTGATGTCATTCAAGTACGCAAACGGAGCCCGAAAACGCTTTTGCTGCGGGTCATCGGTCATACACAGATAGGTTAGTCGGTCTGCGACGATGTAATGGAAGACATGCGCATCATAGACGTAGCTGCGTTTTCCGTCCTCCCCCCGCGGGATCTTCCCTAGAAGAAGGCGGGTTACCGTGGGGAAATTTCCCGAGACGGCCGTATACTCGCATAGGACATCCTTTCCACGGGCAATCAGGGCATAGAGCTGCAAGAGAAAAGGATAGGGACGGGATGTGTGGGCGGTGAGTGGTGGACGGACACGATCGTGGGGAGGTGCCAAAACGGCAACCCAGAGTATTGTGAAGAAAAACGAGGGTCCGACTTACGCAGTAAAAATCTTCATGCGAGATATTTGTACAAGATACGTATGACGAACACTTACGATTGTCATCGTCGTGGCTCGGTTTTGTTGTAGGCGCAATGTGAACTTGCCTTCAAACCGTGCAGGGCAGCAAAGAGAGCCGGGAGGGAGATCACGATACTCTTGGTCACGAGCGCCACTAGATCCTCGTTTTTCAGGTGTACAGCCGCTTGTCTACCCTTTTTTGCCCTGAGTCCATTTGCGTGTGATAGATGTTGTGAGTTCGTTCCCAGATGGTCCTTTTTCAATAGTAATGGGTTGTACTGATTCTCAGGTCGGGCGGGGGAGGGCCATGACCACCCTCAAAGTGTTGGCATGACTACACGAGACATGAACTTGGGACAGGATACCAAAAGGTCCGCAAAAGTAAAATGTTTGAGCTTTCAGAAGAAGTTGAGGAAATGTGGTCGATGGAGGCACAAGGAGGGCGGAGTGCTGCCTTTATTGTCAGGTAGAGGCGGTATACGGCAAAGAGGAGGGAAAGCCGTCGTTTGATTTTGTTCCTTCCCTTGGCTTCCAGCACAATGCTGGTATCGAGGCGGGCTTCAAACGTGACCTGATTCGGGTAGAAACTTCCACTTTCTTTTTATTCAGACCATGTCGGATGCCTTCTTTGTCTCCATTTGCATGAGCTTTCAATTCCTTTGTTGCGGGGGAATGTGTTTTGGCCCCTCTTTACAAGGGAGGAGGGAGAGGAGGGAGGATAACTCCCATTATGACAAAAAAATGACACACGCACGCGCTTAAGCCTGGAGGCAAAGGCAAATTTGTATTCAATGGCGACTGCATAATTCTTGCAGGCATTGTGGAAAGTAAAGTTTCAAAAAAATTTCCTTGGGTCATCCTCTGCACTGCTAGTACTCATCCGCCACGCTCTCACTCTATTTATCTAGGAACAACAAAGCTATCCACCGCCGTACAGCAAAAAGTGGTGGCCTCCTGTGAGGCCTCACAGCTGTGATTCCTTCCAGCGGTAGGGATCAAACATGAAGACGGACTATGAAAAAACGATCAAGCGGCTAGAACAGGTACCTTCACGGCTGCGTCTCCTTCCTCCTTATTTTCTCGCTCTCGCTCCTCACCATGAACCTACAATGTCGAACACGACAATCATCGACAGATTCGCGCTGCCAATTTCAACATCGAAAAGGTTTTCGGACCGTCGGCACTATCCCCCTTGGCGTCTCGTTCTGGCACCTTCCCACCTTCCTCCGGCGCTGGCGGGCAACAACCGTGTAACAATGGCGGCGAAAACGAGAGAGGAAGAGGAGGAGAAGGGGGAGGAAGAAAAATGTCCTTTACAGTCTCCTCCGTGGCCCAACGTTCCCTCGAAAATCTCCGCCGTTTCGCCAGCGGACAAGGACCTCGCCCTCCCCCGACCCTCCCTCCCTTCCCTCCTGCTCCTTCACCACCCTCGACATCGTCCGCAGGCGCGAGGGAAGCGACTGCCGGGAATGGGCCATCGACGTGGCCGTTGCAGGAGCATCAATGGCATCGCCCTCCCTTCCCGGCATCGGCGGGGAGGAAGGACGGAGGAGGGGAAGCAGGGAAGGGAGTCGGGGGGGAAGGTGGCGAAGGAGAAGCGCCAGGACCGGCTTGGTCGGCCTTTTCTACCTCCAGCATGAACGGGGCCACGGGCACGGCCTCCTCACGCTCCTTGCCTACCTCCACATCCTCGACGGCGGTGATGAGGCAGGAAGGAGTCTCGGACCAGAACCCCCAGGGCTCTTCAAGCCGACCTTCCCTCCCTTCCTTCCCTCCCTCCCGCGCTTCCTCCTCGGAGGCCTCCTCCTCCCCCATCGACCTCACGGCTGGTCCCAAGGCCGACGTACCCGCCCTTCCGGCCCCATCTGCCTCCCTCTTCCGCCGTCGGAAAGAGGCCATTATGACCCGCTTGAAAGGTATCGCCCTGGAAGCCTCGCGCCTCTTGGAGGTCGGGGAGTGTTTGCCGACGTGGCAGGCCTTGGAGAGGGGCCGGTTGGAAGAGGACTTGGCTCGTGTGAACGCCTGTCTGCGAGGGCAGGGGGGAGGTGGAGGAGGGGAAGGAGGAAAGGAAGGGAATGAAGGGGAAGGTGGCGCTTTTCCTCCTCCCCCCCCTCCGTACAGACCTACAGCCCTGTCTCTGGTCGCTTCTTCGTCCTCGTCCCCTTCCTCTGCCACGTCGCTCTATAGAGGGGAAGTGCCCGGCCCGTATCCCGGCTTCGGGGGGGACCCCGGCCAGGGAGGCGTCGGCGGAGGGCGGGAAGGAGGGAGGGAGGGA